AAACTATTTAGTTCCGATAAGGATGGAACACGATTGAACCAAACAATCAACATTGGATAGAAAACACAAAGAAATAAGAATGTTGTCACGCTCGCTGGCTTGCTCGCCTAGCGAGTTCCTAGCGAACACTCGCTACCTGTTCGCTTAGCGAACAAGCCCGCGAAGGAAAACAGAAGCTACTGTAAGGCTTCGCTACCTACTCGCTGCAGCGAGGTCCTAATGAATCCTTTGCTACCTCACTCGCTACCAGCGAACAAGATCAAATACATTCTGTCCAAGTCTGGGACCACTCGCTAGCTTGCTCGCTTAGCGAGTTGCTAGCGAACACTCACAACCTGCTCGCCCAACGAATGTGCTAGCGAACGTCTACAATGTTCAAAACCCTCACTGTCCAAAACTCTCCAAAACTCCCAAAATCACCCGATTCAATTCCAACGAGTTCTAGTACTCTTAGTCTAACAATCCTCAAATAATCTACACCACTTATTCCGGATTCCAACCGTTAAAACCTTGATTCTACCGATTAAACTCATTTATACCCTATAATGGAAAATGGAGAAAAACATCCAAACAATCCAAATCAATCATACATAATCATGTACATTGACAATATAATGATATTTCACACCCGTAAACCTTGATTAAATCGAAAGCTAGAAGTTGTTCTTGAGCTTTCCAAGCTTTTCCTTCTTCTCCTTCTCTTTTCTCCTCTTCCTCTTTCTTTCTCTTCTCTTTCTCTTATGTTTATATCTTTTCCTTTTTCTTTCCACTTTTCCTTATATTCTTTCCATTCTATTTCCTTCCATTATATTTCTCCTCTCAAATATCTACCAATAATTCCAATAAATAAACAATTCAAATAAATCAATTAATTAATGTAAATAATTAATTATTGAAAATTGGGATGTTACACTTTTCCCCATAACTCTTTCGGCAAGTTCTTCCCCTTTAACATGCTTCTTACCATGTTCACGATTGATCGATTCTTCCTTTCGACAACACCGTTTTGTCGTGGTGTATAAGATGGTACAACCTCATGTACAATCTCTTATTGATCATAAAACCTCTTAAAGTCTTTTGATACATATTCACATCCATCATCCATTTTGAGCACTTTGAGTTTGTGACCACTTTGCCTTTCAACCATAGACTTGAACTTCTTAAACACTTCAAATACCTTATCCTTTCTTTTGATTAGGTATGTTCATAACTTTCTATCATGATCTTCTATGAATGTGACAAAATATCCATTATAACCAATGGAATTTACTTGCATCGGTCCACACACATATGAATACACCACATCAAGGTGATTCTTGGTTCTATTACATGCATCCTTGTTAAATTTACCCTTATGTTGCTTTTCTTGCATACATTCTTCACAAGTTTCACTCGGTATGTTGATCAATGGTAACCCCATAACTATTTTGTTCTTTTGCAAGTCTTTGAGATCTTGGAAATTGAGATGCCTAAGACGATAGTGCCATATCCACTCTTCTCAACTTGCTGATGCAACAAGACATCTAAGCTCCATATCCTTCAGCTCAACCTTGAAGCTTTTATCTGAATCCATAAAAGCTTTAAGGATCAAAACCTCGTTTGCATCTATAACACGTAGCCCGTTGTTTTCCATGTGAATCTTGTAACCTTTCTCAAGCAATTGGTCAATACTTAGAAGGTTACATTAGATTCATGGAATGTACAATACATTTTTTATCAAGGAATGTCCACCATCCCTTCTCATGATTAAAACATCACTGATCGCATCGACCACTAGAGTGGTGTCATCTATGAACTTCACTTTGTTCTTCATGGTGCGGTTTATTTTAACAAACCAATACTTCCTCTACATCATATGAGTAGAGCATCCTGAGTCCAAATACCATTCCTCACTGCACTGGACTCCTTCTCTTACAATCACCATGACATTTTCTTCTGAATGTAACTAGTTAACACTTTCATGTAACTGGTTACAACCTGCTTTTGCAGCATTTCTATAGTTGTTACTATTTTTGTCCCGCAGCCTGCTGCTACTGCCGTATTCTCCTTTCGTGATCATAACCAAAAGTGTATTCTCTTCATCAAACTCTTATCTTGCAATCTTGGTTTCATCTCATCGAGGTTCCTTTTTGTTCGCATTACACTCTCTTGCAAAATGGTCGAACCTTTGACACTTAAAGTGCTGATATGTACTTTTATCAAACCTCTTCTTCTCACCAATAAAGTTGCCTTAACCTCCATTTTGTTGCAGTTTCTCTCACCCCTTTGACAAGTTGAATTCTTGAAATTTTGGGACTCTCTTCCACCAAAATTTTGAAAATTCCCTTTACTTTTGTCCTTCTTGTTGAAGCGAGCTTGCAAAGCGATCTTCGACTTTGCCTTATCATTATTTATATCCCTCATCCTTTGCTCATGAGCCTCAAAAGAGCTTTGCAACTCCTCTTTGCTCATCGTCACAAGATCCTTTGATTCCTCAATCTTTACAACCACGTTGTCAAATCTTAGTGTTAAAGAACACAAGATTTTCGCGACAACATATTGTTTTGTGACTATTTCTCCACATGTTTTCACTTGATTCACTAATCGAGTGATTCTTGTTGTGAAATCGTTAATCGTCTCCTTTTCTTCCATTTGAATCAATTCAAGTTGAATTTTGTGAGTTTGTAACATCGCCACATTCGCCTTGTCATCCCCTATGTATGTCTTCTCTAAAATTTCTCACGCTTGCTTTGACAATTCACAATCACCAACTTTCTCAAAGTTGTCATCCACACATTGATGGATAAAAAACAATGCCTTTAAATCTTTCTTCTTCTCTTCCTTATGTGTTGCTTGTTGTGCATCTGTTGCACCTTCGACGAGAAGATTCACCTCATTCTTGAATACTTCAAGAACATCTTGGTAGCCAAACAACACTTTCATTTGCTTGCACCATTTGTCGTAATTTTTTGCATTAATAATGTGTAGGTTTGCAGGGATTCTTTCATTAGAGACATAATTCATGTTGCACACTAGGAGTTTGTGGATCAAAACCAGACTCTTGATGCCAAATGTTGAAAGTTGGAACCACAAGATTAGTGAACGATGAAGAAAATTAGAGTGTAGAGAGGGAGAGGGAGAGAGAAAATTGAGAGAGAGAGAGTGTGTGTGTGTGTGTGAGAGAGAGAGAGAGAATATTTTTAAACATTCACATATGACAAAGATGATGATGCCTGTAAAACATTTATACAAGCATTATAAAGTGATTGGGACTCAAACAACATAAGACAAATAAAAGAAAACTGAAAAACTTGTGCCTGTAATCGGTTATAACTGCGGAGAAAACAATTAAAACACCTTTCAGTGATAATTGATTATATACAGACGTTAACCGTTTACATCCACAAACTTCTTTTAATTTTAATTCTGCCATATACGCCACACTTATAACATTTAAATTATTAAAAAAAATATTTTAAATCAAAAAAACTTGTGATAAAATCTTAAATACAATATTAAAAGATAATAATGAAATACTAGTCATTAACATTTGTGGAATTAATTTACAATTTTGACTATGCTTCTTATGAAGTACTATTATCTAAAACACTTGCAGAAAAAAGCAATAGAGCAAACTAATCTTCTTGTATCATTATCATTAGAGTTAGCAAAAGGGGCCAAGCAACCCAAAGTTTAGTATTGAGATGGAAAAATATCTTGCGTGTTCATTTTGCAGGAAAATTGACATCCACACTAGGCAGCTAACGAGTAGCAGCCGTGAATTCAGCTGCCCAAGTGAATTTGATAATGACTACACTTTTGGATCATTTGGATATGCATCCAATTTTACTTCCTCAATAATTTGGCACTTGCCTCTCTCTATCACCCAACCACATCAAACACTTTACTTTATATAATAAATAATATTATATAAACTTCAATAATTAGACATCATGTCTTTTTTTGTTATGTCAATTTTTATAATATTTATATAATCAGAGGTATAACTATTTATATATTTTTCTTTAAAAATTATATATATTTAAAATCTATAATATAATTAAATATATTTTTTTTGTCTTTGATACTTTTCTTTTTCTAACATAAAAAATATTGTGTCTTTTAAAATAATAAATTAATTAATTTTGATATGAAAAAATAATTGCGGTATAATTTGTTATCCTTATTGTATTTATTCATGGAAAATAAAAGTCAACAAGTTATTTGAGATGACAAGAGCATGAAGAAATCAGCGCGAAAGTATCACACGAATCATAAATATCCACACGTGTGTGAGGCGCAAGATAGCGTCTTTGCTGCGCTTGTGTATTTGTTTGTCGAATGAGAGAAGAGAGAGAAATAGGCTGTCATAATCATCATCGTCATCCTAATTATCATCACAAATCAGAAACAAAAATCTACCTAGTAATACAGAGAATCTTAAGTGTTTGGTTTTGTTTGTTTTAGTTAAACACGACATCAACAAACGAACCTAAACACAACCAACTCCTTCTCTTGTTTCAATTCATCATTCTGTTTAGATTCTCCATTGCCGTTTATAGGTAACTTCTTCTGCTTCATTTTTTTCACATCACATCCTCTTTTTTATTTTAGTTTTAATTTGACTATATTAACCCCATTGAGATATTTGTATATTCTGATATGCTTTTTGAGTGCCTTGGTTTTCAATTTCAATATCATCTTGTATAATATAGTAGAGACATGTATATGCGTTAGTTAGTTAGTTAGTTATTTCATGAGTATATTCCTTGTTCATGACTTCAAGCTCTTTACTTTAAAGATTCCCAACTTTTTTTTGTTTAGGTCTAGATCAGGTTTTAAATTGCGATTATGATTGCAGTTAAGTCGGGTTTTTGGATATTAGATAGTTATGAAACATAGACTCTGACACGAACACTTGACACTGCTAATGTTTAAAAGATAGGACACTGACATACAAACTTGTTTTTTATATTGAAATCGTGACAGACAAAGGTGATTCACTTGAAGCCTTGAGAGCTATGCATTCTTCGTCTTCGCCTGTTTTTCCCACTCTTATGGAAAGCACGTATATGAAACCCTCGGATTCTTTTCATCGTTCACCTGTTGGGGGTTTGACTGCAAATCAAGCCACACCGTCAAATCCGATCAGAAGTGCTAGACAGGTGTTTTCGACCACTGCAGAATGTCCCGGGGGCATCGCCTTTTCTTCCGATTCACAGCATGATAGGCAATATCAAGATTCTCCCTTCACTTCTCAGACATTAGGCGACGATGTGTCTTCGGAAATCCACTCAACAACGTTCACTTCTCATCCGCAAGAAAATGATGATATTTCCTGGGGACCAGATCCGATGCAGGATATTGCTTGTTTTCCTGAAATTTTTTCTGTCCAGCATGATCAGGTGGAAAACAGTGCTTCTTACATGAACGATGGCAATGTAAAAAAATCTGATTTCGGGGAGTGGGTTGACCAGCTAATGACAATTGATGAAACTCCTCATCCAAATTGGAGTCAGCTTCTTGGTGACGACAGTGTTGCTGAACCAACGCCAAAGGTTTGTTTCTCAATCTGATTTTGAACAATATTTCAATTCTCTGCGAACAGTTTAAATTCTAATTTTGTTGTGTACGTCAGCATTTTATAAAAGTTGCATAAACTTAGCCTACTCTTTTGAAGCAGGCAACACAGGCTTCTCTGAAGCAGAATACACTGTCTCGAGAAGTTAATGATCTTTGTAATTCATCCGCGTCGACTGCACCTCAAACTAAGCCTAGAATGCGATGGAGTCCGGAGCTTCACGAGGCCTTTGTGGAAGCAGTCAACCAGCTTGGTGGTAGTGAGAGTATGTTTACTTCTTCCCAATCTCATCCTTCTTATCATTCTATTCGGAACGTTTCTTGTCATCATCTCATGATGTTAACATGCAGAGGCCACTCCAAAAGGTGTCTTGAATCTGATGAATGTCGAGGGCCTTACCATATACCATGTAAAAAGCCACCTGCAGGTACATTAAGCTTTTCTCATCCTCGATTTTTTTAGCCTAATGTTGTTTACAAATTACTTTTTCTTTTAATTTCAGAAGTACAGAACCGCCCGATACAAACCTGAATCACCAGAAGGTATACAAAAGTGTACTTATGATCTCTATTGTTTATTCGGCATGTTTTGCTACCAAGTATTTTTTGTGTGTGCCTTTTTCACCCCTAAATTTCGAGAAAGATGTTTTATTTCAATTTCAAATGTCTTTCTTTTATGTGTATTTCTTCTTCATATCCTATATTTGGTTTGAGAAAAAGAAGATATGAACGAAACACAAAACTTCTGAGTAAGAATATGAATGGTCAATGAGATTTTCTTCTGTACCTGCAGAAACTTCTGAGAAAAAGATGAGTTCAATTGAAGAAATGAAATCTCTAGACTTAAAGACGTGAGTCATTTCTCTAACTTCTTTAGCTTTTCGACAATACCTACTATTCACATTTCCATCGTACACAATTGTTCTATAAGATTTTTTTACCTCGAAACCAGCAAGATTGCATTTGCATATAATCTTGCCTTGAATTATGGTTGCAGGAGTAAGGGCATCACCGAAGCATTACGGTTGCAGATGGACCTCCAAAAACGGCTTCACGAACAGCTTGAGGTACATGATTAATTCACCAAACACCAATGAACTTTCATGTTCTGAATCTGATATTGTATCTGTTATACAGATTCAAAGGAAGTTGCAGATTCAAATTGAAAACCAAGGGAAACATCTTCAGATGATGTTTGAGAAACAGAAACAGAAACAGATAGGTGGCAGCAAGGGCTCGCCCCCTTCCAACGCACCTTCTGCTGCACTCTTGGACACGGCGATACCTTCTCCGGTAGACAAATTAAAAACGTCAAATGATGAACGCAATGAATTAAAATGTAACACTGAAGAAAGTTCTCAGGATGCAAGCAGAAAAAAAATGGTACAAGAAGCTGAAGTTACGGATGAACATGAGAGTACAGATAATCAGTTTTCTGCAGTACCTCCAACAAAACGGGCGAAGATTCAATGATAGCTTCTAGAAAATTCTGCTCGAATTTCTGCATCTGCTTATCATAATGGTATACTCAACTTTAACAGTAGCCAACAATGACTAAGTTAATTTTTTGGGATGAAATTAATTTCACTCCCTAGATTTGTTTTTTATTTTATTTTTATTTTTATGTTATTTGACATGTTTAGACTCCATGGAACTTGTAGATATATTATTGGATCCGAGAATGTTTTAGCTAATGTGGTTTTTATGTTTTATAAGGTTGTTTAGCCAAGTTGATCATTTTATCTACTGTACTTCAGGGTTTTTATTTTTTTATAAATCTTTTCAGGTTGTAAATAAATGTAATTTATCTATTTTATTGTAAGCTCCTTTTCATATAAACCAGAACATATTGTTTTCTGATATGGTAGATATAAATCTGTTATGAATTAAAGAGAAAGTCAAAGTCAAAGAAAAAATTCTAAATCTTTATATTATGTTATTAATAACAGTTTGCATTATATTTTGTAGATACAAATAATTATGATAAATACACATTAAGGAAATTAATATACATTTAGTAAAATATTTAACATAAAGAATAATCAAAAGAACAATAATGTCTATTAGACGAAACACCTCTCTTCTCTTTTGAAAGCTGAACGCAGTGGTTAGAAAACTTTCAACAATAACTGCAATGTTGCAACAATAGCAAACTTTATAAGGGTGTCCTCATCATAATGAATCTCCCATCTCAATCTGACTCAGCATTGTCATCCCGACACGGTGGTGATGCAATAGTGTAAGGAAGCAATACATCATGGTAAAATGTTTTTTTTTCTTCCTTAAATGCCCATTACTTGTTTGATAAAATTCATCAACTAGACTTTTTCTATATTGCGTGAGAGATAATTTGTCCTATCCAATAGTTTTTCCTATTTGCATTCTCTATTTCAAGGGATTCATTGTTGCTCTGATGACAAGGATGTAAGCAATGGTGTTTTTCGTATGGTATCTTATCTTAAGGTGTTACACTTATGAAGTGACAAACAAAAAAGTCTTTGAAAGTGATTAGAGTTTGTCTATGACTTTGGAGGAGTCTTTAAGGTGGCAGAGCAATTGTTGTGGGGACTCTAATGGGTTGATTCGTGTTTGTTATGGGGCAGGGGAGGTTAGGAGTCATATCGTAAGTATTTTAGAACTATCTACAATAGATTTTGAGACCCTCAGCGCAAAGAAAAGAGTTGTTTTAGATGCAAGGTTATTAGAAAGAGTCCTCACAACACATACTTCACTATGAAGAGTATACCTCTTAGTTGTCGTCTTGCTTCCTCTCAAACATTGAAAGATGCTCTGTATAAGGTAGTTGTTGAGTTGTATGTACTAGAGTTCAATTGTTACTTCTTCCTCGTTGTACTTTACAAGTAATAAAACCTCAGAATAGGCAGAATCGTAAGTATTAGAATCATAAGTTCTTGCTACAACATCACATTTTAATGTTTTTGACTACATGGAGAGACACAAATGATCTTGTCAAGTTAGTTGATAGTGTGTTGGGCAATTCCAGAAAATGTGATTTGGAAACTGTGGGGGGTTCGTATCGAGGATGATGGTAAAAAGATGGGGCACTAACATCAGACAATGTCTCCATAAGGTTGCAGAGGTCACTTCACAACGATTGGAAAAGTGTAGGGAACATCCATAATGAACCTTATATTGGCGATACAATGAAGGTTTTAAAGGCTAAATGTCCATACATCTCACCTCCCCTCAAGCTTACCACCTTGCTCTCTGAAGTTCCCACAACGGTTGGAGTTGACACTATTTTCAATTTCAAGTGCCTTAAATCATTCCCAAAAGGACATCATGTGCCAGCGGTGGTTTGCGAGGACATTACATATTTGTTGTTATGTGTGGAGAAGTTTTTGTTGTGGAAATAAATCTTTTAGGTGCAATTACTCTAGTTGTTAACTTATGGCAATGAGGAAGATGTGCAGTGAATTTGACATAGTTTGTAGCTTTCGAAACCTTGACGTCATTATTGAATCTTAATGGTGAGATACGGCCAAATGATGTAGGTTTTATTTGGAGGTGTCAGATATCCAAGGTTGCTATGGAATGAGTACGATAAAGATGTGGCACAATACCCCAATGATTTTCAGTTTGACATCAGGGTATTGGGTGGTGCTGAAGCCATTTTGCATAGATTCAACAAGGTGTTGAGCAAGTGACATGAATATGATTCTTTGGCTAAGCTCATAATATATTTATCTAATGCTTTAAACATAATAGACCAATTGACCCTACCGCACGAGATGAAGGTGAGATGTCCATCTATTTCTTAGTGGGTTGAGTTTTGTTATGGTCAGACAACAAAGTTGTACCTTGGAAATTTATATATTATCTTTTTTCTCTTGTATTACATCTTCTTTTTCATAACATAATAGATAACTTCTAACTTTTTTTTTTTTATTTTTATGTTTGATATCTTGATGATTGAACCATCACAAGAGATTCAAATGAGGTGGCCAAATTCCTTGATATTATTAGAGATGTAGGTCTGGATTGTGGTTTGAATTGAATATTCGTAAGATCGAGATTTGAATTTCACGTGACGAGGTTAAACTTCGTCAGGGGTTGTTTCCTTCAAACATTAAATGGTATGTGTTGGGGGAGGAAATTGCTTGGAGGACCTACTAGTCAATATGGAGGTTTATCAAGGGGTTATCCATGAAGAGAGATGTCAATGTTGCTGAATTAATGCATCTTACTCCACAATTAAGGGATCACAAAGTGAATTTCTTATACTTTGATAATGAGTGGGCATTATAATTTTTTTAATTTAATATTTTTATATTACCGCTAAAAGTTTTTTAATAACAAATTTTCACATCTAATAAAAAAAATTCATTTGACAATGTACTATAATAATTATCGTTGACAAATCGACACGTTTGTCCATTTAGTTGGATGAAGTAGGGTGGTCGATATAAAAGGTAGGGGATTAAAATCTGTACTCAACCTACAAAAAATAATGGGTTAGTCGAACAAGCTCGACATATTTGATTTGTTTTGCTATCCCTAATCAACTATAGATCTTGAGAAAAGACAATAAAAAATAGACAAAAAGTTATAACTAATGATAAACAAAATTTGTATAATTGATTTGTCATGAAAATAAAAATAATTTATATAGCATACCCATATTCTAACATATTTTTTTCATTAATATGAAAAAAATAAATTGTTACTTCAGATTGATAAAAGATATATTAATATATAAATTTATCATATAAGTGACAAAACATCTGATTAATATAAATGCTCAAACTAGAAAGTTTTAGAGTATTAATTTATCACAATTATTTATAAGCATAATTTTGTATAAAAAAACCACGCATATAAATTAAATCATTTTCTTTTTTTGGATATAAAAGTTATAAAAGAGTCCCAAGAATTATGTTAAGATGATTTAATGAATATTTTATTTTTTCTATTTAAAAGTTTTACAAAATCCACTGTAACAAAAAATCTATCAAAATCTATATATTTTAAAATTTTAGAAAAGCAATTATAGACTCAATTCAATCAACGAGCCACTCACAAATTTTAATTTTTTGGTCTTTTCACTAGTGTTTTCCCTACTCATCTTTTCCGCTTAATTTCTTCCCAAAACAAACACACGTTTCGTTACTCTCCGAAAGAACCCTAGCTACATCGCTCTCACCTCCTCATTCGCCACCGCACCCGCCACCACCGTCGTCTGCAGATCCCTCGCCTCCTTATCCCAACCGCAGGTAAATCTCTCAATTTCCATCTCCATTTTCTATGTTCTCTGGTTTTCTACGCATTTCGCAATTTTAACCTTTTCGAATTGATTGAACGCATTTCACCATTTTCAGCCGTTGGAATTGATTGCTGTTTATGTTTTTCTGCTCCTTTTTTCTTCTGTTGTTGCAGTAAACGTGTCTGCTCCACCGGAGTTCATCCGGTTCAATCAATTTCGTGAGAGGAATTTGAACTAAGTGTTGCGAAAATGAGGATTATGATTAAGGGAGGTGTTTGGAAAAACACCGAGGATGAAATTCTGAAAGCTGCTGTTATGAAATATGGTAAAAATCAGTGGGCTCGTATTTCTTCATTGCTTGTTCGTAAATCTGCCAAACAGTGTAAAGCTCGTTGGTATGAGTGGTTAGATCCTTCCATTAAGAAGACTGAATGGACTAGAGAAGAGGATGAGAAGTTACTTCATCTTGCTAAGCTTATGCCTACTCAGTGGAGAACTATTGCTCCCATTGTTGGTCGTACTCCTTCGCAATGTCTTGAACGATATGAGAAGCTTCTTGATGCAGCTTGTGTTAAGGATGATAATTATGAACCTGGGGATGATCCTAGGAAATTGCGTCCAGGGGAGATTGATCCGAATCCTGAGTCGAAGCCTGCACGACCTGATCCTGTTGATATGGATGAGGATGAGAAGGAGATGCTTTCCGAAGCACGTGCTCGGTTGGCTAACACGAAAGGTAAGAAAGCGAAAAGGAAAGCCAGGGAGAAACAGCTTGAGGAAGCGAGGAGGCTTGCTTCTTTGCAGAAGAAAAGAGAATTGAAGGCTGCTGGAATTGATATCAGGCAGAGGAGAAGGAAAAGGAGAGGAATTGACTATAATGCAGAGATTCCCTTTGAGAAGAGGCCTCCTCCGGGTTACTTTGATGTTGCTGATGAGGATAGGCCGGTGGAGCAGCCTGCATTCCCTACTACTATTGAAGAACTTGAGGGGAAAAGAAGGGTTGATGTTGAGGCGCAGCTGAGAAAACAAGATGTTGCTAGGAATAAAATTGCAGAGAGGCAAGATGCCCCAGCTGCTATTCTTCACGCCAACAAGCTGAATGACCCAGAAACAGTAAGAAAGAGGTCAAAACTGATGCTTCCGCCACCCCAGATTTCTGACCAAGAGTTGGATGAAATTGCCAAGTTGGGTTATGCTAGTGACCTTATGAGTAGCGAAGAACTCACCGAAGGCAGCAGTGCTACGCGTGCTCTTCTCTCTAATTATCCACAGACACCCAACCAGGCAATGACTCCTTTAAGAACTCCTCAGAGAACACCAGCTAGTAAAAGAGATGCTATCATGATGGAAGCTGAAAATTTGGCCAGGCTCAGGGAGTCTCAGACACCATTGTTGGGAGGAGAGAACCCAGAGTTGCATCCTTCTGATTTTTCTGGGGTCACTCCTAAGAAAAAGGAAATTCACACTCCAAACCCACTGCTGACTCCCTCTGCAACCCCTGGAAGTGCAGGCCTTACTCCGAGAAGTGGTATGACACCGGCAAGGGATGGTTATTCTTTTGGCATGACTCCGAAGGGAACTCCTCTAAGGGACGAGCTACATATCAATGAAGGTATGGAGATGCATGACAGTGCTAAACTCGAGCTACGGAAACAAGCTGATATGAAAAGAAGTTTGCGCTCTGGTTTAAGCGGCCTTCCACAGCCCAAAAACGAGTACCAGATAGTGATGCAACCAGTTCAAGAAGATGCTGAAGAGCCCGAGGAGAAGATTGAAGAGGATATGTCCGATAGAATGGCTAGAGAGAAGGCGGAAGAAGAGGCACGGCAGCAGGCATTACTTAGAAAACGATCAAAAGTCCTTCAAAGGGAACTTCCCAGGCCTCCTCCAGCATCTCTGGAGCTTATTAGAGACTCTTTGATAAGAGCTGACGGGGACAAGAGTTCATTTGTTCCACCAACCCCGATTGAGCAAGCCGATGAGATGATAAGAAAGGAGCTTCTAACTTTACTGGAGCATGACAATGCCAAGTATCCTCTTGAGGAGATAGCAAATAAGGAGAGAAAGAAAGGAGCCAAACGAGCAGCAAATGGGCCTGCTATCCCTGTCATAGAAGATTTTCAGGAGGATGAGATCAAAGCTGTATGTGTTTTACTACTTTATCTATGCATCTTTTAATTTTATTTTTTATGCCTTTTACACTTTTCTTCACTTGCTAGTAAGCAGCTTGATCACCTTTTCACCCTTTTATATCCAACTTGATTTTTCATGTAGATGATAGTTGATACATATGTTGATGATATTGGTCTTAAAATTATTGCCAATTCATCCAATTATTGCTAGGCATTCTCATTCTTATATTGTACTCCCATTTCACCCTTATAAAACCACTTAAAGAAGCTTCTTATGTAAAAATTCAGTCGAAATATTTTGAGCATCTTCTTAGTTTAAATCATGATGCCATCTCCTTTATGAATTAGTTGAGTGCTATTCACCCTTATAAAACCACTTAAAGAAGCTTCTTATGTAAAAATTCAGTCGAAATATTTTGAGCATCTTCTTAGTTTATATCATGATGCCATCTCCTTTATGAATTAGTTGAGTGCTGTGGTGGTATGTAATATGGATTGTATCATGCTTGCACTTTTTTAGTTATAATTTATAAACATTTGATTAATCAGGTCAAAGTTGGCGTTCGTTTTTCCTTAATTGTTCTCCATTATTTATTGCAAAATGTAATGTTAGCTTGCCAAGTGATAGAATACAAACATTTAAACTGGTTGTTAATTATTATTGTGACTATTATTTACACTTTAAGCTTGAGTATATTATAATTGGAGATGGACTTTTAGGTGGATGAATGGTAACATTTATATTGAAATTGAATGTTATTTATTTATATATGCTGTTCTCAATAGGCTGGTATGTTGATAAAAGATGAAGCCCAGTATCTCCGTGTGGCAATGGGGCATGAAAATGATTCCCTTGATGAATTTGTTGAAGCGCATACCACTTGCATTAATGATTTAATGTACTTTTCCACTCGTAATGCCTATGGTCTATCAAGTGTTGCGGGAAATACGGAGAAGCTAGCAGCTTTGCAGAATGAATTTGAGAATGTGAGAAGTAAGTTGGATGATGGTAAGGAGAAAATGATTCGACTTGAGAAGAAGGTTACAGTACTCACGCAAGGGTATGAGGTATGCTATGCTATCTTGTATTTAGATCTCTACATATCTGTTTCTTGCAGTGTTTCTTTCAAATATTGCTAGTGTGAAGCGTCCCTTCTTTTTGGCATCTAGTTTCTTAAATGCCAGCTGGTTATCACTTTCATTTTCTTCTTTAGTGGCTGGCTTGCATTAATTTTACTGAGATTCTTAAGTGTTTACGTTGTCTGAATTCCCTTTATAGTTGGTTTTGCAATATAAAATGCTATAAACCTAACATAAAACTGAAAACTTATGAAACCCAGCTAATGAGTAAGGGAAATTGTTGCAGTCTTTTGGGAAATTCATGGTGTTATTATTGTGGGTGACATATCAATTTATTTTCTTTGTAATTTAAGTATGCACATAAAATATGGTTTCACTTCATTTTACTTTTGAGATTGATGTTGACATTGTAATTTCTTTAGGGCTTGTTTGGCATGCCCATGCCATATTAGGATTAGGACTTTTTTTGATGTTTGGTTTGAGAGCATAGTACCTTATTCATGGACAGTCACTTGCTTTTATGGTTTTTTTCTTAATCAATCACCTGCTCTCAAGGTTTTCTTTTTACTTTTTTTTCGTTCATTATTTATTTGTAGTTGAGGTTAAACCTGTTTGTTTATCTTTATCTTGATTTCGTTCATAGTGAGGCAGGGTATATAGGGTGTTTTAACTCAAACTAAAACTCAACTCTGAACTGAAATTAGATTTGGTTTTTGAAAATTTCAAAACATAAAACCTAAACAAATCACGCCCACTCCAGATGGGGCCTTAAGTTTTAAGGTTGAGGTCAGCTTGAACAAACCACTACCACTTCCAACTATAGACCACCAGCCCCTAGTGCACCACATTTTTTTCCCTATATGTGATCTTGCACGAGGTTAGGTCAACAATGGGTCCAGTGTTTAGTACTAGCCAAAATGGGTCTGGTCATTTAAATTAAGACTTTGAAGTGGCAATAAACAAAGTCCTACCTGGTACACTCATTTCACTAGTCAATGCTTTGGTGGTTGTAGATGTCGGGGGTTGGTTGAGTTTGCTCCAAGAAAATGATGCAGATAGGAGCCGATGTTCTTAAATTGAAATCAATGCCTATATATGATATAAAACTTATAATAAGTAATATTTATATGTTAACAGAAGTGCTGTAATTTTTTAAGATCAAGCATGGCCTTTAATTATTATTTTTCTTCATATTTTTAAAATTCATACTTAGTTATCATTTAAATCACCATAATAGACACTAATCCTCACAGATAAAAGCCCATGTTCTTAAACTGAAATATATGCCTATATATGATATAAAAATTATAATAAGTAATATTTATATGTTAACATAAGTGTTGTAATTTTTTAAGATCAATCATTGCCTTTTTAATTAATTTTTTTCTTCATATTTTTAAAATATATACTTATCTTTTAAATCCCCATAATAGACACTAATCTTGACTTTACTCCCTATAAAAATTCTTGCCAGTTTGAACCCTCTGAAACACAGAAAAAGTTGTGTTTGGTTTGCGTTTTTGTGTTTAAAGTCCTTGCAATATTTGTTCATTTTGGAATTAATATAACTGTAAAATGTGGAACATATTGCCCTAGAATAAGCACTATCGAGAGTCTGATTTCAATATGAACAAATATTAAAGTACTAAAAGCAAATAAAATGTCATTTTATCAGAAAGTAAAATGTATCAGAGATTAAACAAATTAACATGAATTTCTTTTGGAACTAAACCAAAAAAGTTTATACTATAGGGACTAAAAAGTTTTATTTAAGCCTAAAATTAATTACAAAGTATTGCCCATTGCCCGAGAATTATTTAACTATATATACAAGTACAAACAATCTAAAGCACTAATGATTAAATTGCTATACATGTATTATAAAAGAATTGTTGCTTGTAGTTATTTTAAAAGAACAAACATACATATAAAAGTTTGGACCATTATGAGGATATAGGACTTAGAAGTTAGAACCATTCCCCTCCCTAAACCTGTTATTTGCTATTGATTCTCTAGCACTATTTGTTATTACACTTTTGTTTCTGTACATACATGATTTTTCAGTTGATTGTACATTGTGGCCACGGGGCTTAAGGCCTAATTAGGGTTTCCAGAAGTTAACAAACCTTTTAGATAGCTTCTGTATATTCTTATTTAAAAGTTAGATAGCTACAATGTATCTGTTAATAAATGGTATTTTTGTTAAACGTTTTAATTTTTAATTTATGCATTGTTAGACTGTGCATCATCACAAGCGGTAGCGTTATGCTATACAATTGTGTCTCCTGCTAAACAAATACAGAATTGATTTTTTTAATTGAGTGTTAATTTTGCTCATGAGTTTTTATTTAAGGGTGGGAGATTTGTCTCAGCTCTTTTCTGTGTTTGTTATTTCATTCCTCGGGGTAAGTAAAGGAAGGGGCTTGCACTGATTGGCACTTTGTGCTATCTGGGAGTTGAAGAATGATTGTATCCGGACTCATGGAAATTGTGTCTGGCAAAAGAGGGCGAAAGGAGGAATATATTTTGTAATGAATAGTGTGTGGATCCTCTTGGTTATTTATCGAGGTTGTAATCTCTGCGTAAGCTGGTAGGTGTAGTTTAGTTTCTTCCATTCTGACTCTCTTCATTCTGAGGGCATTTGTGTTGGGGTATCCTCTGTACCCTTCATATTTATATAAATATAAAATTTCTTTGCTGCTTCAAAAAATAAAATAAAGTTCTAGGGACTCTCTTTTTCCAAAAATTCACATTACATTTCAGGTAGCTATAGTATATTCTTAAATTAAGGTTCTTTTTTTTTGTTTGGGAATTATGATGGTGCTTGATGAAAGTGTTGGGGTATAAGAAAATTGTTCAGTTCTTTGTAACCTGAGAAAGAAAGGATAAACTTGTGCAAGTTTATGCGAACCCTCTCATCTGAACATATGCAACAGGGCGAGTGGGCACATTTATGTATTATCAAATACTTTTTGTATAGAAAAACCAACAGGGATTGGGTCTAGACTTTCTGTAGCGAACCAAAGTTCGAATCCGGGCTGAGAGAGGTATCCACGTTTCTGATACACCTCAAATAGGACTACATGATACATCTAGTAGAGGGAACTTATGGGAAATGAAAAAAAGAACTTGTATAGAAGATATTTTGTTTTATTTGAATGCAGCTTGATCTTCATCGTATTTATTTTGCATCTTTGTTGTTTCCTTTCTTGATTATATGGGTTTAATCTGGGAAGTCACCTTTTGGCCCATATGGATTTAGCGTATTAATAAATTGATTCTAGTTTCTTATTTTTATAATTCCATAATCAAGATTGAATATTAAACTTTGGCTGGTTGCATTTTCAGATGAGATCAAAAAAAAGTCTTTGGCCGCAAATTGAGGCCACTTTCAAGCAGATGGACGTCGCTGCAACAGAATTCGAGTGCTTTCAGGCTTTAAAAAAGCAGGAGCACTTAGCAGCATCACATAGGATAAATAATCTTTGGTCTGAAGTTCAGAAGCAAAAGGAACTTGAGAGAACTTTACAGAAGAGATATGGAGATCTTATGGCAGAGCTGGAAAGGACACAAAATGTAATGGAGCAATTCAGGGTGCAAGCACAGCAGAAGGAAGAAATTGAAGCAAAGAATCAAGCAATAGAAGAGGTACAAGCACAGCAGAAAGAAGAAATTGAAGCAAAGAATCAAGCAATAGAAGAGGTACAAGCACAGCAGAAAGAAGAAATTGAAGCAAAGAATCAAGCAATAGAAGAGGTACAAGCACCACAGCAAGAAGAAACCGAAGAAAAGAATCAATCAATAGAAGAGGTACAAGCACCACAGCAAGAAGAAACCGAAGAAAAGGATCATGTACCTGAGAGTACTGAAGCCACAGCTGATGAAATTAATGTTGAGGGTACAGAAAATTGTGAAGCGGCACCCTCGTCAGCTGACCAGCAAATAGCTACCGTCCAAGATCAGGCTATTTCTAGCTCCAAAATTGATATGGATGTGGATTCTCGTGAAGCACAAATGACACACAGCTTCGGTGTTACATCACCTGATGCACTTGCAGAAGATGAGAGTGCAAAAGTTGTAGAAAGCAAAAACATTGGAAGTGATATTGATAACAGAGAGACAACAGTTGTTGATATGAGTGCTGCAGTTGAAATAAAAAGTAATGAGGGAAATGGGGAAGGTCAAAATGTTGAGAACCCTGACGAGGTTATGGAAGCTGCAAACCAACCTGATAGTAGCATAAAAGAAACTACCCTGCTTGAGGGCATGCAAGTTGCTGATGATGCTAAAGGAGATGAGGCAAATTAGGATGGAGATTGTATCAGCAAATTGTAATATTAGAGTTTGTGGTGGTGATATTAGTTTGAAGAGTTGTTGGTCAACCCAGATAACCAAATGATTTGCATGGAAGGTGGGTCCTTATTCATTTGGATGATCATAAGTAAAGGTTTGGGACGTTTTGTTTTACCAAGTTTTGCCCTTGTTACATTCGAAAAAGGATGTTGGTGATGAGCTCTTTCAGATTTTCATTTAATTAGATTTGATTGCACCATTTCCTCTTAAAAACTCCTTTAAGGTGAGGCAAACTATCAACAACTGTGAATTCCCTAATGTACTTTTTGGTCCATTGACAGGACGAGCTTTGCAAATGTATTCCATAGTGTTTAATGGTTCTTAACACTGACATTTCATAATATATTTCTAACAGAAAAGTTAAAACAAATAAGATAATAATTATACATGCCAAATTCATGTTTTAGTTGAAAGAGTAAATCCTTCCGTGGGATTGAAATTCTTTTCTCCCTCAACACCGTAGACATTTTAGCGGAATAAGGAAAATCATAATGAAGAGGCTGCAGCTGGTTCAAGGTGGTTTTGGTAAACCAATATTTGTTCCATAAAACGATAACCGTATAATTCATTACTAAATTTTTAATGAATTGATTTTTTTTCTGTCTAAAAAGTATACAACAATTAAGCTCCATCCAAGTAAATGAGATTGGCTACATGAATTATCTTTAAATCTAAATTGTTAATTTCAAAATCCTAAGTTTTTTAAAGTTTTTTTCTTTCTGCCTTTAGCTGTTTGTTTGATGTACTTTTCTTATCATAAAATTTGCAAATCTTTTCTCTTCATGTTTAAATAATCCAAAGTGTATTTTTACAATTTTTTTATTATAGGTGCCATTCCACATTCTCTATATTGTTATTTTTAATATTATCATGGCTAATCTTGTTAGATTTCTAACACAATATTTTTGTTTATGCTACATTTTATTTTTGTATTATTCTTAATCGTACAGTATGCTATATTTTATTTTCGTATTGATTCTTAATTACACAGTGCCGTATAATTTTGCACACTTTACTATAGTTTGATAAAAAAAATTCTCCAAATTAAAAAATATTTTTGTGTTACATAAAACCCTTATTCTCTTCCATTTCAACAATTCATCTTGAATTTGATTGTTAATTTGATCTTTTCTATTTATACAAAAATGTTTAAGCATACAAATCTTGTTTAAATTTAAAAATTATAAATTTTAATTAAGCCTAATCAATCAATTTTTCTTTAAAAAAAAGTTAAATATATTTGAAAAAAATGAATATGCCCAGATAATAAAATAAATTTTATACTCTCATATCATACCCCATTAAACTTATATATTAAAATTAATTTTATATCTCTCAAAAATAAAAATCAGATACGTGGCGGTTAAAATATAAATAATTTCAATTGTTGATGAAAAAACTAGAGCATTGGAAAAGTGATGGTGCCCTTTTCGTAGAGTACAAGATAGTCCAAGTTTAGAAGACCTTTGAGAGGATCACATCCAAAACAAGTCTATTTATTTGCCAATTATTGCAAATACAAAAATAAAATTGAACCAATGAAAAAAATCAGTGTGTTAATTACACGGTATTTGCACAAAACAAAACCAGGAAATTTCAATCATCTTAGTTTTCAACACTGCCTTCAAACGCTGCTTCTAGTCTGCCCTTTATTGTTGTTGAACTCCAATCTTGTTTCCCATCCTGCAATATACAAACAATTCTCTATTCACATGACACAACCTTTTCATCAACACACATACACACACATAATAGACTAAGAACCAAGTTTCTATGATATGCATAATAACTAACAAACTTTACTACACTAACCTTTACACATTTGTTCGATTTAGAACATGTTTTAGAGACAGAACTACACTTCCTTATTTCTTCAACCGTCAATGCTCTCAGAATTGTCCTATCCTCAACAACACCTCTTTTTTGTATATTTTCCTTATTTTCTGATTCAACCAACCAATCCGACAGACTCGTATCTACTCTAATTTCTTCCTTCATCTTTCTCTTTGATGATGATAATGATACCTTCAAACTAGTCTCTTCTTCAATCAAATTGATATTTTCTTTGTCTTTCTTTATATGATTCAACACTTTTCCTTTTACTACTTTCACCTTCCCTTCCCTAGCGTTCTCAATTGGATTCAGCACTGATAGAACTTCATCACCATCTTCTTCTTGGAGTGCCACCATTTTACTGCTAACTTCATTATCAACTTTTTCAGTTGATGAAAATGAAACTCTTTTTCTGTTACTAAAACCGGTGGATAGAGAAAACAAAGAAGATTCTGAAGACTCTGAAGACCCTTTTTCTGTTTTCTCATTATGAGAATCATCATCAAGGTTAATAATGTCATCATATACATCATCATCATAACAATCTCGATATCTATACTCCAACAAAGACTGATTCACCCTTGTATCCTTGCCTTTAGTGGAGTCTTGTTTTGGTTCGGATTCCTTAACCGGAACAGTAGGACGAGGTTTCATTGGAGTACTGCTAACTTCAGTCTCAGAAGCATTTTCTTCTATCGAAACTGGTTTTCCATGACCAATAGAAACAGAAAAGAGTGAATCTGAACATTCTTCTTCTTGTTCATGGTTTTCTTTGGTGGGTGTTACTTTTTCCTTTGATTCTGATGATATCCAGTGGATGGATTCTTCAAGTACAGGATTTTGTTGGATGGTATCATTAGCATTATTGAGAGGCTCAGAAGAAAAGTGCTTTTGGCGTTTGGAAGCTGATAAACAAGATAGAAAGCAGCACCTCATGATTGGTTCGTGTAAAGTGGGTTAGCTTTGTTAGTAAAGATGGAAGAAATATTGTTTACAAAGAATGAAATTGAGAAACAAGAGGAGGGGAAGAAACGGTCATGAAAGTGATGGATTTTGAATTTTTGACCGTTGTGAATTAGATGCAGTCAGAGTCAGAGGTATCAGAATTTGATTCTACTCATTTGGACTTGGGTTAGGCCCACATCAATTCTCTTCATTGGAGTTTGTGAAACATTTTTCTTGTTCACATTTATACTAGTTTAAAATACTAGGGTCTTTGTTAACCAGTGCGGCACTATTTAAACATTTCATATTAAGAAATTATTTTTTAAAAAATTCAAACACTTCAATTTTTAATGCACATTATTACACATTATTGCACATACTTTTATAAAAACTTACTATTTAAAGTTTTAAAAAGTGTCATGAGGGGCACTGGTTAACATTTCCCAAAATATTATTGATGAATTCTTCTTAAATTGTTTTAGAAATTTTTTTAATATATTTTTTTTAATAAAAATATTAAGTTATTTTAAAAAAAGTTTAGCTATTTATAACTGTAAATAATGATATCATATATATTAAATAATAAAAATGTTTCACAAATACAACTAAAGAGTTGAACTAGACACAAGAAGTACCTTACCACAAACTCAAAAACAAGAAACAAGAATGTACTTCCAAGTATAAAATGCGACAATCTCACAAACACCATACCATCATAGGCGAAAGTCCAAAACAAACACCACCCGAAAGAGACCACTAACACCATCATAAGAGAATTTTCTAAAAAAACCAACAATAACACTCCACAACAAAGTCATGGTCAAAGTCATTCAAGCCACTATAAGCTCATACATAAAATAAAATTCTTAAGCCAGACAGAAAAAACAAAGAATTATTAGCGGACATACTAAGATACCATTTCTAAACTTGAAAAGTACTATTGTGAACCACATCCTTCACGTCAGAAAAAGAACTTCAAAAAATGACATCATTTCGAGAATATAATAACGGACATACAATCAAATGTCAAATTACAGAGAGGTCACCCCTTAACGTATACCTATCACCCAACTATCTCAACACAAGAAAAAATTCTTTGATCCCTATGTAGAACAAAATCAAATAGGGAACTGACTCTAATGACCCTATACAAATATGACGCAAAGCGCCCTCAAGACCTACTAACGCCCCACGCTTAAGAAAATTCTCTCTCGAAGGGATCTTATGTTGGAGTAGTTGCCAAGAAAATGATTACTTTAGAAGGGGTCAAACTTCCTTAAATAAGTGGGAGAACCAAGCTCACTTGACTAGGTGTAACCTAACTAGGACATGCACAATCAGTAACAGTAGAATAAGAAGATGCCACAGAAAACACTTCATCCTTTGAGTGACATCACACCACCACCTATCATACTCCTGGGAGAGAGTCATATCTCTCAAAATAGATAATGAATCACCATCATTTCTTGTTGATACACAAAAATATATCTTTCACTTTAAGTCCCAAGATAAGAACTCATTCACACTCATTTTGACCTCACTCACTGACTAATCCTGTTGATCAAAGATATTGAAAATCCTAGAAAACCTAGTGCAAAGAGAAATGGTCCCTACCCAAGGATCCTTCTAAAGGAAGTACTACTGCCTGAGCCTATTTTCTTCATAAGGTCATCCTTAAACAATAATGTAGAAGCATACTTCAATCTCAAAGTTTTGATGATGTCAACAAGATTTAAGCTCATTTCGTGTTTGCAAAAAGTCAAGCTTTCAAAGTGATCAAGATCAAGACTACGCATCATCAATGGAATATTGTCATACGAATCAAGCTTCATGTGCAAATGATCGTCTACTTTTTCAAGACTTGGACACAAGACTTTGGTATATCAAAACTCACTCTTTTAATTGATATACAAGTGTTCAAATAGTTTATCATATCAACATATTGCATATGCATGTTTTTAAAATTAATTGGAACTGGTATAACACTTTAAACTTAAGTATTTTTCTGAGTTTTCACAGTGTTAACCGATTAACCTATATGGTTAACCGGTTAACGGTCTCAAAATTTCATTTTTCTCAGTTAACGTTACAGTGTTAACCGATTAACCTATATGGTTAACCGATTAACACTGAACGAATTTTGAAAAATTATTTCTTTTCAAATTCAAATCTTGTGT